CTTGGTAATGCACCCGCGAAGCCAACGGTGGAGGCAGCGAAGGTGTCGGAGCCAGTGAAGGAAGTAGCACGTCCAGCACCTGCGGCTGAAGCACCTGTGGCTGCGGCTGGGCCCCCGTCTGCAGAGCTGACGAAGAAGTCAGAGTCGCTGCTGAAGGAGTACTTTTCTATCGTGGATCTGAACGAGGCACTGCTGTGCGTACAAGAGTTGAAGAAGCCGAGTTTCCATCCGGAGTTTGTGAGGATCGCGATTTCGACTGCGCTGGAGATGCGAGAGAAGGAGTGCGGGTTGGTGCTGAAACTGTTGGTGCACTTGCAGTCGAAGGGAGTGGTATCGAGCGAGGACTTGCGGGGAGGTGTGGTGATGGTGGCGGAGGGGCTTGAGGACATGGCGATGGATGCGCCATTGGCCCCGAAGCAGTTAGGAGGCATGATAGCAGGTCTGATTTTGTCGGAAGCGTCGGAGGTTCGGTTGATGCAGGAAGCTGCAGCGAAGATGGAGGACGAGTTTCTACAGAAGGATGTGTTGAAGGCTGTGGTGGACAAGTTGAAGGAGAACGAGGCGCAGGTGGGTGAGGTGTGTCGGAAGGCTTCGGTGGACAAGGAGGGACTGTTGAGTGTGACAGTGGAGGGCGACATTGCGAAGTTGTTAGGTTGAGTGATAGTATATTTCGTGATTTGGGTATTATTGACACATGGTTATGCGGATGACTGTCGTCGGTTATATCCTTCTGTTACGTTTCAAGACTCTTCGAGGTAGGGATTTTTCCTAAATTTGCAGGAGGATGTGCACATATCCTGGAGTATTCTATGGATGTAAGTTCTGTCTCGTCTCTACTTTTTGAGACCTGCGAAACTTCTTTTTGCACTGAGTTATAGATTGTACTTGGCGTGTTCAAGCTTGTTTAAATTATGATTTGGCAATAGTTGATTACGACAAGTGGCATGTTTTGCGTGATGGCCTTCTCTCGAATTTCATGCGGCGATTCATGATGTGTAAAGGCGAAGTTACCCGTGACTTACTTGGTGACAATGTAGAATGTCTTTCACTGGGTGATTGTCTTTTGGTAGTGAGGTTGTATCATCCCTATGCACCGTAGATATTCTTATATTCGAAGTCTCTTGTGAGTGATCTGGAGTGTTAGTGGATGTCCGTTTCTGTTTCTTTTTTTGCTCACTTCAAATCACAAGTATAAATTATTTGTTTGAGTCTACTGTCAAGTATGAGTCGTGAAATTGATTTATTTGGTCTTGTGTATTCATTGGGCATGTGCAAGTTTTGTATTCGTAGTTCATGATGAAAAAAAAACTTGAGCTCTGAAGAATGAAATGAAAGTTTTGTGATTGAACTAACAGAATAGGACCTTTCTGTTTCTTCATGCCGTATAAATTTTATTCTACGAAAGGCAGCTGCTACAACCTGCTGAAGTAAATTGGATCTGGCGAAACAACATCAACAGAAGAAATTATCTTTTTTATTTTCTAATTAAAGAGCAGGATTCCAAATGATGAAACACTTTTGACTAATAACTTTTAACGTGTATGCAATTTCTATTTTTTATGAACTTGATTCAGATCCATGCACATCATGATTGTAACTTCTTTGTACATCATGTTAGCGTCAAGAAGTAACACCTTTCATGATCCAAAGTCAGTCGACACTAAGTTTGTTGATATTGCTATGTATTTAGCAAATTGTTTTACAGTTGTGATTTATACATTTATTAATTTTAGTTATCTTGAACTCAGATTAAAAACTCCCTGCTTTGTAATTGAAAGGTGACTCTTATTGTATGATTTTCAAAAAAATCAAGATATATATATATATAAATAGTTCAAAACTTCATATTAATTAAATGAATATTTTCAAACATATTATACAATAACTTTACACTAATTTAATAATGATAAGAAACTCATATTATTGATGCAATTTTCACTAATGTGTAATGCTGATACATAATATTCATGCATAAATGTAATTTCAGCATGTACCAATTCACTGGTAATTTATTTATTAATTTATCTCTCCTACAATTATTGATTGATACAAATTAATATCTCATTTACTTGTACTCATTGTACTTGTATTGATACTTGATTTTACTTGTACTGATTTTACATAATTATAAAAGATTTTAAATAATTTTTACAAAGAGCAATAGCATGCATTTACTTTCAAACAAAATATATTGTTTGTTTTGACAGAGCCCATGTAAATAAATAGAGGTTATATTAAATTAATACACAATGATGATACTTTACATGAGGTAGTGAAACAATTTGGCAATAATATTCACATGAGAATGTATCAAATGTAAAAGTTAATAATGGTTAGGAAGGAACTACCTCCAAACTAAAATCAAAGAGAATAAATATTTATAGTAGATATTTATCCAAGTGAAGAGTTTGTCAAGTTCAAAAAATTTCAACATACTCACTTAAGTTGGTAGTGTAAGGGTAGCCCAAAAGGAGATATCACATCTCACAACTATAAAACATTGGTGAGATAAATAAATACATGTAACACGTATAATCTATTACCATCATCCTAGTTTGAATCCACAACATCTTGAACATAATGAACTATTTGTCATAAAAACAAAGATTGTTACACACAACATATCAAGTGCTACAAACCAATCACAAAGTATGTAATTTGAACCAAATACAAATGTACAACCAACACACTCTCTATCAAGAAGGGATTCTTCCACCTAAGTATTCAAACCTTAGTTGATGTTAACAAAGTCAACTCACAAAAAAATCTAAATGGATGGAAAAATCACTGCACCAAACTAAACCAAATACATCCAATTGGATTTAGCAACTGATGCAACATTGTGACATATCTTTGTTGTACCCAATAGACTCTTTGGCACATGTCCAACTAATAACATGGATACTTATTAATAAAAGGGTTTTGCCTCCCATCTACTACATCCAAACTTTAAGACAACAAGCTTAGTAGAAACCTTTGTCTAGACTTAACACTATGGATATGAACCTACAAGAAGGAATAATCATTTACTAGTTGGAATGTCAATAGTTCTGCAAAAGCAAATTGAAGATGATTCTTCAAAGAATTTACACAGTTGTGGATTTACTAATTCAAATACTGTGTTTAGAATTTGCATTTCTGTCCATCATTGGCAATGTAAAACTTTAATTGGGGTGATCTGGTATGTGTGGGGTGTTCAAATGCAAGGAAAGTTTTCCAATGTCTTCATTTTTCAGGGGCACTAAGAAGCTATTTGGATGTCAGCTTTCAGAGCTTGAGGGGTGAGTGGTTTTTGTTGTCTGTGCTTAGTGAGGATTATGGGGCTGTGAAGTAAAAGAACATCGAAGAGCCTTTGAAAATCTGATCTGGTACCCACCAAATTCTGCTGAAACATGTCTAGTAATGCATGGGAACTTTTGGTGGCAAAATGGCAGTTTTCTGTGACTTATTGGTGTGGATTCAATTCAAAAATCCTAGACAATGTAAATGACCAAAATCATGTGAATATGACAATAGTGTGAAGCTCTGATTATATTACATTTTTACTTATCAAAGGCATTAGAGAATGTAACCTCACTGTAACTGACAAGGTTTTAGGGTTAAGGGTTTAGAGTTCTACCAATGTTGATGGTGTGAATTTGTGAGGTTGTTGCACTCAAGGAGGATATCAACTTTCACTGTTTTTTTTTTTGTTTTGCTTCATCAATTCAGATGCTTAGACTGTTCTATTGTACCCTAATTTTCTCTATTGCTTTGTGAGCAGTAATCCCTATGTTGGGTATAAATAAGCTGTAGTTTGGTTCTGTAGTTACTGGAGCACAAGAGATTGATTTTTGGCTATGATTGGAAGTTAATGTTGCTGATTATGAGTTTTTGAATTGCCATGTTATTTCCATGTGGTCAGTAACTAAATCTTCTTTGCTAGGGAATTTTGTTTATGCTGTTCAATGTAAATAAAGAGTAAGCTCATGGTCGGTTATTTCCCATTGTAATGAAATGTCTTGCTTAACATTGTACAGAAGCAAGACTCCATCAGCACATCACATTTGTACATTGGAATATTGGTGGATTATTGTATCATCAATATTGGTGTTAATTGACATCAACATTTGTGCAGGAGTTGCATTCAAAAAAAACTTCACATTAACTTTGTCATTATTATTAGGTTGGCTGCTTGGCCCCTGCTCTTTAATTTGTTGGTCTATATATATATATATATATATATATATGTTGGTCTATATATATATAAATGTGTCAACAAGATTGTAAAATTATGTGAGAAAAAATAATTTTGCATGACAATTTTACATTATGAGATGACATTCCAAAATATACACTATAAAACATGCTATCTTGTAAGAATTGCTTGATTCTTCAAAGGTTTTTGAAGAACCAAATGAAACTACGTATATTAATTTTATGAGCATCAAGAAATGAAATAGTGAATGTTGAAACAACCACTACCAAAACAAAAATTAATAATTGACATCTTAAAACCACACAGTAACCAGGTCATCTAACACAAAGATAATTTGAGATTTAAAAAAATAAAAATAAAAATAAAAAAACTTACATGTGATAAAATCTTCTGCATCTTGAAAACCTCATTTCATGACTCATGATACTTTATAAAAAAGACTTTGCAGTTGATTGTGTGAACATCAGACATGTAAATAGACTTTGGATTGCAAACACAAAACCCACATGCACAAGATTGCAATTAATATTCCTAAACTTATTTGAACCAACGACTTGGAATAACGTTCATCCCTTTTTGTAAATACCAACTTCTACTTTTAAGAAAGACAACCGAGAATAACAACAATGACAACAACAACATTAATAATATGTGTTTGAAAATGCCACAGCAATAGGTGTAAAGGCAGGATTAGAGGACATCGTCCTCTAATTTTGGCCCCAGCGCCATCAAATTGAAGAAAAAGACTCGAGGGTGGTGCCATTTCCGAGGCGGGTTTGAATTTTGACGTGGGAGAATGGAAAAATGGAGGGCGTCGCCAAAGCCAAAGGCCTGCTTCTCAACGGCTCTCTCACTCGCATTGTCTCGCCGCTGCTTCTTCTTCTTCTTCTTCTTCTTCTTTTTCGTCATCATGGCCAAGTCCCCCCGGCGCCTCATCGTGGCATTGCCGCCCCTCTCTCAGCTCTGTACAGGCTCCACATTGTTGGGTCTAGTCCTTAGGTCGCTGATTTAGCCCTACTTTGAATTTTCCTCATTGTTGCGCTTCCGACATCGCGCTTTGTGTCGGAGCTCTGACCCTGTTCTGAACTTTTTTTCTTTCCCTTGGTTGGATCCTCGTCGGTGTAAGTGATGGTTCGATGAGTAATGTGAGCGTGTCGCCATCTGGTCGTGCTGGTTTGTGTGTGAGTTTTGTGCCTTGGTTGCTGAATGTGAAGGTGGTGGGCATTGGGAACGTGTTCCTTTGTGGAGTGCTGTGTCATGTTGGATTCGGAAGCTGGTGGTGAACGAGGCTTATGAGTTTGGAGTCGGTTGAGGAATTGGGTTATGGACCTGATGTGGGGACAAGGGCCGAGATACTGCTTCATGCTTCGGCCTCTCGGGATTTGATAACTCATTGTCTTGGAATGACCTTCCCCTTGTAGTTCCTGCGGTGGCTGCTGGAGGTTGGGATTGAATTTCTGCCGCAATTGAATCAGATTCGTCAGGCGCCGCAGCATCGATGATGTCTCCCAAGCCGAAGGAGAAAAGGGTGCAATGCAATGCGGGTGGGAACACGCCCACTGGCAAGGGCAAGCCAATGCAGCCTCTCATGGATAGACAGACGTCCCGTACTGGAAGTCACCCTGTGGAGGTTGTGGGGCGAATCCGTGAACACCCAGAAGGTTTTGACAAGGAGAGCGCGATTCGGGTTCTGCCACATTCGCGCGTTGCAGTGCGTTCAGAAGGAATAGGCAATGGATTCCGCGAGTTCTCCCTCGACGGCGTATCTCTTGCAGCTGTGGAGAATTTGCAAACCTTTTATGGACGTTACGTAGAACCTCGTGTCGAGGACGTGAAGGCTGGTGGACGTTGCACGATTATGATGTACGGGCCAACAGGTGCCGGGAAAAGTTACACCATGTTTGGTGCTGCTCATGAGAAGGGTGTGGCGTATCATGCCTTGTCGCAGCTCATGACCCATGAAGCATCTCACGATGATGATGATATTTCAGACAAAAGCATAGAGGTCCGGGCGACTGTGTGGGAGATATACAATGAGGAAATTTACGATTTACTGGCAGGAGTCAGCGCTCCGAAATCAGGGTTTGGGACGTTGTTCAAGATGAGTGGGAGTAGCGGGGGACGGGTTAGTTAAATTACCCTGATACGCATGTATGGACACGTCATTTGCAGTAAGTGAGAGCATTGTACAATTGGCCAAAAATCGTCACTGCCAGATTTCGAATCGCTTTCAGCTTTTGATCGTGTATCATGCCAATCACGCTCATAGCTCAGAAACAGAGTACATCAATTCTTTATAACATCTTTTTCAGACGTTTATTATCCTCGGAAAATCCATTAGGTTGTTGCTCTCACAGGGAGTGGATGTAACTTCTACTTGCTGTGTCTCAAGTGTACCAACCAGTCTCAGGGGTCTGAATCACTTGTGCAATGCATTGAGGAATCGAACTGTTCAACTTATTTATCTTGCAGGTGAAATTGGAAGTCATGGGGAAGAAAGTGAAGACATGCATTTCGATATCGGGCACTGACCCCCAGAAGCTTCTGAAAGAGATTTCGAAAGTAGAGGGGCGGCGGGTGGTGAAAAGCACCAACTGCAATGATCGAAGCTCCCGTAGTCACTGCATGGTAAATTTAACAAGTCTTTAGCTCGTCTCATCCTAAGTCAGCCTTTCATTTGAAAATTTGTGTCTGCACCTCAGCAGCAATTCCTGGTAATACGCATTTCGTGGATGCAGGTCACACTTGATGTACCCGAAGTTGGCGGCAAGCTAGTTCTTGTGGATATGGCAGGCTCTGAAAACGTGGAACAAGCAGGTTTGGGGAGAGAACTTAAGATGCAGGTGATTCACCTCATCCTTGACCTCATCAACCTCTAAAAGATGTTCTGTAGCTCGATAATCCCTCTGCCGTTCTCAGCCGATCGCAGACGTGGAAGGGTAATGCTCACCACGCAAACTGAAATTGTTCCTGGTTATTAGACAGGAAAAATTAACCAAGGCAATGGAGCTCTCAAGAGAGTCGTGGAAGCCATTGCTAACGGAGACTCATACATTCCCTACCGTGATAGCAAACTTACTATGCTTCTGCAAGTGAGTTACTTCCTATGCGTGGCATTGTCTCCATCATAACATTTTCACTGTAATTTTCATAGTGCATGCTCGATGGGCCTGGATATGTTTTCTTTCTTCCTACACTCTGGACTTGTGTGTACATTGTTTGATATATGCTATTAACACGTTTTGTGCCCAGGATTCCTTTGAGGACGACAGAGCTAAGATTCTGATGATTCTTTGTGCAAGCCCCGACATCAGGGATCTCCACAAGACCATTTGCACCTTGGAGTATGGGGCGAAAGCTAAGTGCATCGTCCGTCTGTCCAACTCTCCTAGCAAAAGTCGAATATCTGCTGCAGGGGTTGAGCAAGTGCAAATCCTCGAAGCTCGCCTTACCAAGAAGGATGCATACATTGAGAATCTACGCAAGCAGAAGGAAGAGAGGGAGAAGGAGTTGGAATCCAAGGACAAAGAACTGGCTGAGCTCAGAGAGGAGGCGAAGAGATGGAACTCTGAGAAAGAGCCACAGAGGAAAAGAAAAGGCCTTCATGATGGGGATACCGAGGACTTGAATAGTTCACCTACCAGAAAGCAGAAAATCGAGGAGCTCACAGCCCTGGTCTTGCAGCAGCAAAGAGAGATAGACTTGATGAGGATACGAGCTGAGAAGGCCGAAGCAGAACTCTTGCACATCCAACGATCATATAATCTCAACAGCAACGCCCGCGTTGGGCATACCCGTGTGGAGAATTCGGATTCTAAAGAGGGAGTTGGCGTTGAGGATTTGAATAAGCGCGTTCCATCCTTAACCCACGGTAGGTGTCTTTGTATTTTGTGATATGTGTTTGCTTAGAAAAAATTTAACTTTCCATGTCCCTGCTGTAAACTTGCCTCCGCGTACATCGGTCGAGTCTAAATACCTGCATATTCTGAGTACTCTGATTCCTTGCTTAATATCTCTGCAGCTGTGAGTTCTGCATCATCATCGGCCGTTGAATTATTACATTTCCTGATACTGAATAATGTCCTTCGGTATTACAGGATCTGCCATCAGCAATCAGAGGTTTCAAGACATTCAAAAGCTGATGAATGATCGTATTTTAGCAGCGCAAGCTGAGAGTGATCGAATTATAGCTCAGTACAGACCTGAGCAAGCTGTAGGAGAGAGAAGTGGACAGCGAAATACTCAATGCGACCTCAAAGTCAAGCCTTGTGGCAACAGCAGCGCCACGGAAAGTCAGAAGCAGGACCGTGACAATGGTAGCACTTCTCCTTGTGAAGTAATGTCTCTCACTTCGAATTCCGCTAGTCTACTACTTTTAAAAAATCTCGTTAAAGAGAAGGAAAGACGGCTATCTCTGAGTGCCGAAGAAGAAACCCTACGCCCGGAAACAAATGCAATTAACCCATCGGCTCCTGTGAGAGAGGATCCCGAGTCCGACGACTGGATGGGTGAGAAACTATGCAGCAAAGGGTGGCTGCCCATCATTCCGGAAGAGGACGAACGAATCGCTCAGTCCGTGGAAGTTACGAAGTCTGTTACTCCTCAAGGTTCTTCTGATAAAGACCATTCCATGTTCTGGACTCAGGTTTGGCACGCTGTCCCTCTTCTCTACTCGCTGTCGCAACTTAATATTGACTGTGCTGCCGTCGTAACATTGCCAGTACATGGTTCACTTGTTGATGCAAAAGCATACGCTTGTTTTTCTGTATGACAGGTGACCCCGGATACCACAAATCCAGCCAATCAAGGGTCCAAGGATGCGGGATCCAACCTATCCCTGACGTTCGCTTCTCCAGAAGAGCAGCTCAGTACAGCTATTGCAAGCTACTTTAACAACAGTGGCCTCGATGGGAGCCCACTGCTTCCTTGTGGAGGATCCGGATCTAGAGACGGCCCTTCATCAAGAGACAACTTTGCTGCGGGGGTTAAGCTCTGTACAGCATCATCTGAATTTGTTTTCGGAGTATCGAAAGAGTGGGCTCAGGAAGAGGACCAGCATGATCAACGGTTGGCTGCCCAACCGGTTAAGGTGCCCAGTCTACTCACAGTACTCGCAGAACCAGCCCGAACTTGCATTAAGAACCCAGTTGAAGAAGCTGGTTCAATTGGCTCAATGAGGTTACTTGACGAGAGTGGTGGCGAAGTTCTTGATGTACCCCCTGTTGAGCCAGTGCTCTTGAATTTGGGTACAGATCTCTTTGATGGCGGTCAGTCAGGGGGAAATGATGCAGAGGCTGCCAGAAGAGCAAGAATTGAAACCATTTTTATGCTTTGTGGAGAAAATCGAGAACGCGCTAGAAAGGCCAATGTGCATACGTTCGCCAAGGAATCAGAAGAGGCTGTACCTGAAGTACTATCTGGTAGGTATAGTCTGACGTCTAGCTCATACGGATCTCAGCATTTCGCTGATAGCCAGCTGGATCAGTCCGTGTCCGACTTCTCTACCTCACCCAGCTACTCCGAGGCCGCATACTACACCGATGTCAGCGTAAGCTCTCTGCCGTCCCTGATGCCTACAGAGTCTCCTCAAAGGTTCCCTTCCTCCCGGAGGCCAACGCGTCGGATGTCCTCCAGCATATTTGCAAATGAGAATTCTCAGCCAAAACCCGAGGATGAGAAGATCGATGTGTACGTGAAATGGGAGAAGTCAAGTGACCTAGCTGATGGGAAGCTTATCTGCATCATAAACGTACCCAAAACTTCCAGCCTTTCAGAACTTAGGGAGGAGATTGAGGCCCACATTCCTGTGTCCAAAAGGAACTTCAAGTTCCTCTTTCGTGGGGTATGTTCACTATTACTTCCTATGACGTGAATTCTGTGAACTATGATGTGGAGTCTCGCTTCATCGCTTCCTTGCAGCATGCCCTGCTGTTATGACTTGATTCCATTTAGTTTTGTCCTGCGACTTTGAGACTTTTAGTAATTATGTGAGTAGGTCTGAAATTGACAGTGAAAGTTCAAATTACGTTTCACGTTCTTAGTTACAAATTGCGCTGCCCTACCTGATAGTAATGAACTATAGTGTGTTCAGTTATGTTCAATTGTCAAGGATATCATGTAATCAATCTGCCTGATCTGTGAACCGTAGGAAACTGGAGGTGCTCCCGTGGACCAAGAATTTGAGAGCGACGTGCGTGTTGAATCTTTGCCAGCATCCCATGACGACTACGGGAGCCGGCTTGCATGGCTGCGTCCTCCTGCTATCGACACCGACTTCGTTAATCCCAGAGTTGAGTCAGCACCATTTAGGTCGCTTGAGAACCAGCTTGATATATCTGCTGAACAGGTAAATGTTTCTATGACTAAATTTAAAGGAACTTCTCTGCCGTCTCATGGACGAGCTGGTCCTCCATTAGGACATACCAAAGGGCTCAGGTCTCAGAATGGGGAGACGGTGAAACCCAAGTCAGCTCTCGCACATATCGTCAACTCAACTCGTTGCATCTAAACATTCCATCAGTTGTGCAACGTCCGATCAAACCATTCCGTAACCATTGAATTCTCTTCAGTCCTGCTGCAGTATACTAATTTTTCGTCTTATAGTCTTAGAAACCTCCGAATTTTTATAAACCCCTTCAAGCGTCGCATACGCTGGCCTCCATCCCAACATACTTCACCTGAGGAATGTGCCTTCCCAAGCACATGCATCTACAACTGGCTAGCGTGGAGAATATTTCGCAGCCTCTTTGTAACATATTTACTCTATTCAGACAATATAAATATCCTTGTCTGGATAATTGACAAACCATGTGGAACAGATATGCCCCTAAATGAATAGTTGCAAAGCAATGCCCACTTCAACCTCACCTGCTTTCATTTATTACTGCACAATAAACCCCAACACTTCACAGCTACCAAGTGGGCGGATTGTGAAACGATTGGTAACCGTCCGCTTGCCAACAATAGTAATACTATGTAAAGCAGTGACAATTGGTGAAAATGGACCAAATACACCTGCCAATTAATGAGCGCATCTGATGAGCACTTAATAATGTCGTGCGGCACCTACATTTCACACGAATAGTCTCCTTCGCATCATCCTCAACAGCTATCTATCGTTCACCATGAACAAATGCGCGCAATAGTGTGGGAAGAAAAGATCGGAGCAGGAAGTACTTACGCAATGTACCAGGGTAACAATGTATACAGATGTTGTATATTGCAGCACTTGTGCAAATTGTGGTAGATGCGTGTGTCGGTCACATTGGTTAAAGTAAAGCACGTTACAGGCTTAACATTGTAACTATAAGTCCAAGTTAGTTGTGCACTAGTGGACATGAAATCAGAGCAACAACTATTGGCCATTCTCAGTAACACGTATTGAAAATAATCCATGATAAATAAAGCAAGAATTATAAGAAGAATCGACTTATGAATTTCACTGTGAAACAAAGTTGGTAAACACCAATTATAATTAACAGTCGCAACATGTACATATTTGTACATTGTACAAAGAATTTGTTCGCCAAATCACAAGTGTGGAGACTCAAACTACGGCTGCTTGATCCATGACTACTTTCGTGTCATTAAATGTTGATACTACGCAACCAAGGCCCATTGATGTAATTTATGTGCGAGAAAAGATATTGCTAAAACGTGCACTGTTTTTAGATAACGAAAAATAAGTACCTCAGAAAATTAATTACAACAGTAATATTTACACAACTTGAGAAGTTTCGCCATATTGTACGCTTTGAACACTCATACAAGCTTCGACAACTTGTAAGGTCCGACTATCTCCATTGCCAGCACCATCTCAGAACCGCCCGACCTCTGGGAAGTTCAGTATGTACAATACGCAATCCGAGGGCACCTGCCGTGGACACCAAAACCCACTATTGTCTTAAGACAATGGCACCGAATGAGCAGTCAGTTGATATATTTATACTGCAGATATGAATCACTCATTGCCAGCGATGGCTCTGCGTGACCGTCGTTAATCACTTCAAAATCTTGTACATTCTTCGGCATGTAATGCTTCTCGTGTGATTTATAAAACGGTAACCTGTCGTATGAGGTATGACCCTCGGAATTTCTATAGGAATTTCGACTTGTATATGCAGCCGATGGAACTCCCCTCTCTCGGCTTGAACTATCCTCAGTCGAATTGTACAAGTTAGATGTGAGGGCACCCTCCCACACCATAACATGTAGACGGATAGACTGGCCAGTCTGCCGATGCAACGAAAGCTTATTCGACATTGAGATAGTGTCGTAACACCGTATTGAACCAGAAGACGCAACCAACCAGGGAGTAATTTTTTCCCCTCCTAGCCGGGAAATTACAAGAAGCTTTCCTGCAGCACAGGCAGCTTGATATACAGTCGACAGCCCTGCCCGGTCAGCCACTGTTCCTGGGTCCACAGAAGAAACGTGGCAAAATCCCTGCATAAAAAGTGGGACCGGAAACTCATGACTTTCAGGTTGATAGTTGTAGAATCATATATTTCTAAGCAGAGTAGACCCTACAAGATATCTCCCGGAAAGGCATCCATAACTATGAAAGGTGCATAAGATTAAAACGATATGAACTTCAATTTTGGAACCCTCATCTGTGAATGCCCGCTGTGATGATACTTTGACGCGAGTGCAGTTACAAAACATAACATAAATGTCGAGTTCTTATTACTCTTAAATCGCAACCTAACGAAAAATAAATAGAAATATACCTCTTCCGTGCAGCTGATGCCCACGCCAAGGCGAGACTCGTTCTCTTCAGGTTTCAAGTCGATGGCAAGCTCAGCAGCTGCAGGCGAATACCATAATCGTACTGCTCTCACAACGTCCACATCCATGGCTTCTCGATCCTACAAGAACATAGTGCACAAGTAACAGTGAGCATTTGTCTGACTCTAGTACAGATATTAATGATGATCGGAGATGTAAGAATGTAGATTAAAGTGATATAAATAAAATAAAATAAAATAAAATAAAGGGGGGTAGGGGGTATGGTGGAGGTTTATTCTCTGACGTGGTTGCAACGGACGACTAAAACAAATTGCATTCAATGAAATTACAACGGACGACTCGGAACTCGCGAAACCATATTGACCTGCAATCTGTAACAGCCATTGTTGCCAATAACAGCAGGATCCTGTTTGTAGCCTGGAACTTGATAATCTGCAAACTGCATTTCAAGACAACCGCGAGGTAAGTGAGGATCATTAGTAAGTGCTTTGTGACACGAGCGAACATGGAATATGGCCAGGAGCAACTTCAATAGCAAAGTCAAACACATCGAGATGTTTAAAGATGGCACCAAAGCGTATAATTGAATGCACTTACTTAAAAGAGACAACATCACCATCACGAAATGAGAGAGACGCCATGGGTTCCTTCATCCTATATTCGACATAAAAATCACATAACATTAAATCTATGTCAAGGTTGGTAACTTACTTGCATAAAAAGAGGCTCTGTCTGAATATTGACGAATGTGATTGGAACTCCAGACGCCTGAGCAGCAGATAACCAGGCAATTGCTCGAGCTGATGTATGCTCAACACCGGCGTAGTCGCGAGCCCTTGGTGATAAAGCTGGTGGCATGACGAGGAGGGAAAATACCATCGCAGAGCCCGAGACAGGTAAGAAAGTCATCATCTTTTGCTCCCAGGGATAAGCAACGTAGCTGTCATTTAACTTCATACTGCTTAACTTCACCAGCAAATCATCCTTTTTAGTGAACTCTTTCACCATCTTGGATGCTTCCAGTATCTTACGACTTTTGTCTGCACGATCAATCACGAACCTTTAAGCCATGCTTTTAAGTCCTAACACAGTGAACATGTGAAATTAGAAAAATTCAATTTCTCAATTAACAAGGTCAAAGTATATTATAATTCACATACGTTTCCTTCTAAATGGATATAAAACAGGCTAACAAAAGACGAAATTTGATAAAAATAAATAAATAAATAAATAAATAAATAAAATGAACAGAGATGGTCCAAGCTATGCAGCACAAAATACATAAAGTTTTTAAATCAGAATCTTGGGAATGTGCACCTTGCAAAAGTAGGCAATCTTGTTCCATAGCATCCACCAATGTCGCGACGTGGCTGCTATCAGTAGCGCTAACCAGCACATACGTCTTCTTCAGCAAAGCACTGTCGTCCACAGCGACTTTAGATCGAACCTCAATTACAGAAGAGCCTCTTTTGACCTTAATCTTTACTCCTCCTGACACGTTGTGCAATTTCTTCAGTTCACGTATAAGGCCAGTCTTTCCACCAGCAAATGGAGCAACCAGCATAACGCCGCTATCGCTGCTGACCTGCAAAGGAGCCATCTGGGGTTAGGTGACAAGGACACAATAAAACACTGCCGTTACAAAGCTCGACATCAATATTTCGACAACGGACTTAAAATATTCTCAGTACTTGTAAAAGGTACAGGATTGATTTGTGGATTCGAATAGAATATTACCCAATGATTTTGGCATATCCCGTTGAAATTAAAACTGTATGATGAAGACAGATTTAATAGTTCGTTGTCAAAAAGAAAGTATTCCGTGAAAGATGTTCACGTATCTACTGGTGCATACTAATTGTGGACTTGAATCAGTGTTAAATTCTAGCTCACTAGGTTTGATCATTGACAGTATATCAGAAGAGAACATCCAAACCTCAAGTTGACCTCCCAAAGTACGTTAAGGAGAGAGAGAGAGAGAGAGAGAGAGAGTTTAATCACAAAAAAAATTAAATTAAAAAAATTGAAAATAATCTACTTCTAATACATAAATATATTACGTAGGTGTAGATTCTAATATCATAAATCTGATCTGATAAATCAAGGGTCGAGCTAAGGATGAATCCTGCATTGAAGCTGTAAAATGGAGCTCACATATCAATAACGTGAAACAGCGAACACAAGGTTCCGAGGATAATCTAACCCAGTCAACAAGTCAGTCGTTTTTAAAGGCTTCACATTTCTTATCCAGCTTTTAATCACTAGTTTCATACTTAAGACATCTTCTAATGTCATTCAGTACATTCAAATAAATGTGTAAAGTATGAATTTCACTGAACTTTAAGTAAGCATGCTGAGATGAACTGCAATACAACCTTAAATGACAATACAAACCCGCTGAGAAACGGGTGGATGAATAAATACACATACACAAGACTACCAGCAACAAGGGTACTGTTGAGTAGCTTCAAGTAAAACCTGGTACCAAAATTGTTCTAAATCATTGAGACTCACGTTGTAGTGACATTTACATCGTTCTGAAGTTGACAAGAGTATAACTTGTAGAGTTTTCGGCATGTTCTCATGAGCGCGAAATATAAGGCACAGGATATTGTGCAGATGCCACCACCAGAAGGCGCATTATAATGTATTCGCTCACAAATCGAAGCAATCAACGTGTAATGTACTTGCCGAATGCAAATGCTAACCTAACCAGTAGTTAAGAAAAAAGGCATAAAAGTTTCCAATCACGCATTCCAACTGATTTTCCCTGCGAAAAGACCACCCGCACGGTTTGGACTCAGGAAAGTAACAAGTGAAATGCTCTCCATTACCAGGTCACAACGGGTCATCATGACGCCTGCGGGACTTTGGAAAGTGATTCACGTTTACCTGTCCAAGAAGGGAATGCGGCCTGGGAGAACAAAAACTCCTGGTGAAAGAACTGCAGAGACCGAACATTTACCTGGAGCACGACATCGCCACCCAAGAGCTTCTGTTCCGACCATGATTCCATTTGCGTTGACCCGGTTAACTTGATAGCCACCACAGGACTATTCCCACCCCCCGCCATCTCGCTCACGGCGTTAAGTACAACTCTCCAGCACTAGCCACAAGGAAAAGTCACAACCCGAAATCTTCAGCAGCTTGCTACTCGCGTGCTACATGTACAAGCCTCGCAAATTCTTTCCCGCCTCAAAAAATCTAAAAAACCGCGAGTCCAACCACCAAATCTTGAGACTCCAAACCTTCTAAACAACTCGCCTCCAAGAAAACCACGCCGCTGTCACACACTTACTCTCCTCCCCCTCGCCGTCCAAAATACCAGCGTCAGGGATACACACAGCCGTCTAAAACTCTTCCCTGAGATACGCGACGCTAGCCGTCGTCAATACCTCTGTACGCGGCCAGCTATAAGTGGCGTGGTGCGTACTCCCGGAAAACTAATATTCCGACAGCCAAACGGTGTGAAGAAACACGGCACGACGTAACGTACTATACAACCTTTTCCGAGCAACCGATTTGTAGTTCACTCATTTATGAAACAATAAGAAAAACGAATCTCATTCTTCCTTCCTTCCTCTCGCTCGCTCGCCACCACCCCGTCGTTGTCTTGTTAACTAATAACACTACACCAGTTCAACGTCCAAACAGCAACGTCCAAGTGCAGGCTTAAGCAAGTATCGTAGTGGCTAAGGGCGGGGTGGGAGGTGGTACTGATAAGCTTGCTTTCCGTCTGCAATGGTCCCTGCCTTCGCGATCCAGCACGATTGCGCACAAACACCACCAGCGCTAGGCTGCAATCCACAACAATAGCACCACCACAAACAGACAGTGAAAGTATGAGCGCGGAATTCTTTAACCCCGCGGGGCGGGAGTGGGAAAAAAAATGACCCCCCTCCCCCACACCGAGCTCGGGGAGCAGCATCTCGGCCGCCTGCCTACGGATTCCGACATCCGCGCCGCTCCTTTCGAGCTCAGATTCCAGCCGAAACGGGCCTCGTCCCTGAGCGGAACTGTCGTATCCCTGCTGCAATTTTCAGGCCCCAACTTGCCCATCACGCTACAGATTCTGTTCATATTTTAGAGCTTTTCTCACAATGCAAATCCCAATTTTGGGGACGAGTAAGTTTTATATTATAACCCCCCCCACCTCGTGGTTGAAACCCACGGTGGTGGGGGATTAGCTCGTTTTGGCAACACTAGCCCAATCACCGTCCTCCCCTTTCTACCCCCTCTACCGTGGACTTCCCTCTTTGGCTATGGTAATTAGGATAGTAAAAACCCATACTATACAACATGATTTTAGGAACATTATGTTTATTTTGTAATATTCAGTCCCTCGTTTATTGAGCTTGATGTAGATTTTGATGGGGGGGGGGGGGTAATAGTAATAATAACAAGAAAAAAAAAATGTAAGATATTTAAGTTCTCAGATCTCGTGTCATGATTCTTGTTACAGGGATCCAAGAACATGGTTATTTAATGGATTTATAAATGGGATTTTGATGGTATTAACATATACGTTTTTTATTTGGTGTGGGATACTTTTGCTTAATTTGTTAAATGGGATTTTGATTTTTTTGTGAAAATGGAATCAAAGTTTTTTACTTTGGGAATGCAATTTTGAACAAGCTTACATCCCTATTTTTCTTTTATTTCCTTTTCTTTTCATTTTCTCAAATAAAAAGGACATCAAATTACTAGCTTTACAGTCAGTGGTATAAATTACTGGACAACCTTCAATCTAAACTAAATGGAAAATGGTGGTGTCAACATGTAAAGTTCTAGTTCATTTAAAAATTTATAAAATATATTAAAATTAAGACACTATGTCATATTTTCTTTTAAAATTTTAGTAATTGGTTATTTTTTATAATCATTGTGTAGTTTATGATTTCGTGCATGTGGTTAAAATGCATTTCAACTTAGTGTGTTTCCGCTTATTATAGCAAGGATGTAATTTTTGAGTTGTATGAAGATATGGATTAAAAGCTTTGGGTTTCTTAAAAATATAGTTATTATATTTCATTTAATTTTTTCCATGTTACCTAAACAATCCAATGTGCTTTTGCATTCATCACCTCAAAATACATATGACTACGAAACATTTTGTTTCTTATGATTTTTTCATCTATTATATTTTTTTATAAAGATTAAGAAGATATTCAGTAAAAACTTATTATTAGTGTGATTGTGGATATGCATGCATTGCATACAATGTATATTGAATTACTATTCTTATTGGACATGTTTTATTAAATTCAAATTCAAATTAATAAAATTAATAAAGTGGTCTATATTTTAAATAAATTACAAATTTTATTTTTGATAAATCAAATACAACTACATATATATATATATATATATATATATGTATATGTGTGTGTGTTCTTCATAAAAGAGCTTACCTACTATTTTGTACTTTGATTAAAAAAAACTAACTAAATATTCATACATGAAGTTTTGTAAGAGTTTACAGTAATATTTTTCTATTTAAATATAAAGTATAAAATATTATTTAATGTAATATAATAAAATATTTAAGTAGTACCATTGTAAAATCATAAATATTTATATTAAGAAAACATACTAAATACTTTGTTATATACCAAAGAAACTTTTTGACATTGCCACACATATGTTGTTTTAATCTTTCTTATGATGAAATAAAGATTAATTTAAGACGAGTTAAATGTTTTTGTTTTATTTAATTATAGAGTTTTTAGACATAATGTTCTTGACAAGAAAATATCAGCAAGGTTTTAATTACAATATAAATTTAGATAGTATTGTGAATATCATGTTCAATTACACGAATTTATTTTTAAAAATAAAATAAATATATGTTACTGATGATATTCTTCATCAAAATTTCAAACATATTTACAACCAATTTTTAGTTACTAACATCGAGGATACAAATGAAGTAATCTGCTTTTGTTCATGTATAATAGTTTAAATGAGCAAAGCTAAATATTATATATATATATATATATATATATATATATATATATATTTATGTACGAAAACCAATAAATTGTTCTTTATTAAGCATTTTAGGGTGCTTTCTATTTAAATTTCAATTGTCATCCTAGTAATTATCTGAGTATAAAAAAAATTAATCAATTATTACAAAGAATCTTTAAAATTAGTAATGAAAAATGAAACAAATTGTAGATTGAAAAAACAAGAAAGAAAAGTTGGAAGAAGAGGTTGTGTGGAGTGGGTATGTAGGAGAAAGAAAATGTTGAAAGGAGAGAATTTCAGTATACAATATTGCTAGAATAGCTCTCTTGCAACACCCTTATTTCTCCAAAGCTTTCACTAATGATACAAATACAGGAAAATTTGTATGCTTGATATTAGCTGCTCGGTGTACTTTTTGAGGCACATTGTGGAAGAATCTGCTACTCAAAAAAATCAGCTAAAACCCGATTATCAAGGAATATTTGTTAGAAAACTATTTTATTTCAAGATTTTAGCAAATGTACTTCCTGAGCAGTAAAATATTGTGTGTGAAGAATTTGAACTTTTTCCTGAAAAATCACGTGATTTTCCTTTTTATTTTTCATTTTTTTTTCCTTCTTGTTTAATTTCTTCCTCTTCTTCTTTGTTTTTCAATCTACTTGTTTTTTGGGTCTTAAAGTTATCACAAAAAACAAGTAGATTGCTATTAATTTGATGCCATTCTTTCTTTTTAAATCCTTTTTTGTAGAAGTATATAGCCGTTGATTTCATTTTTAGTAGTGATATTAAGTATTCAAATTCTAAAACACAAGTATTACAACAAGGAATACATATCAATTCTGTCGATTGGTTTCTTTTCTTATCGTTTTAGTTTTCAATATCTACTGGTCAATTTCAAATTATTTTCCCCTACTGACTTATTGAATAAAATCCTGGGAATACAATCTCAGGTGTTATTCTTTTGGCTTTGGATCTTCTCAAAAATTGAGTAAAAATATCTTTTGAAAATACCCCAATTCGCTCCAAAGAACTGTATGAGACACTGTTATTTTTTATGCTCTTTTTTAAAACAATGACCAGATTCACCAAAATTCATTTTTGTGATTCATGCACCTAATACAAAAACTTAGCATTTTCAAGTTTTAGATAGCAAGTTTAATTCATGTATGTAATTTATAGCATATATACGCATCTATCTATGTGTGCACATAAACACACACACATACAAAAAGGATCTCACATATGGCTTTTCATTTCTTGGATACCCCATAAATGACGACTTTGTGAACTTAAAAGTTAATTGTTCTCAATATTATTCCTCCTCTCCTGATTTATTATCTTTTTATTTTCTCAAGGATCCGTGGTGCACGGGGAACTATTAAAAGTCTGCAATGAGCTACGGAAGCTGAGAACAGGCCCATTAGTTTGCGGGACCTCTGGGGGGTGGAGGTCCTGTTCTGTTATGGAACGGTCGTGGGAGTGGTGTGGGGAGGCTGATTCCGTCCAAGAAAGGGGGGAGGGGGGAAGACGCAGCCGCAGTGGAAACTTCCGCGCTCCTCCTCATTCCCACAAGTGTGGAGTATTTCGGACCGGGTCCGTCCCAGATGCACGCAGGAATCTCGCCCGTTATTTTCTCGCATCGTCAACTCATATTCTCATTCGTTCTCATGTGGATGTAATTCATCCATTTTGCTCTTCTGGGCTGTCACTCTGCCCTAAGCATGCCCAGCTTCTCACGGTTCTTGTCGGCCTTTAAATAAAACAAAACAAAACAAAATGAAGAAAATTGCAAAATAATAAATAAAGAAATACCTTTCTAGTTGTCAGACGTGTGTTTCTAGGCGTGTAATTTGGTTTTTTTTGTATGTATGCAAAATGTTTAAAGGGTATATATGCATATGTTTACTAAAATAATAGAGCCATGATTGCACGTCAGTTAATGTTTTTTTGATAATGTTGTGGAGTTGCCAAGGCAGTAGTGGAATTTTTTTTAATTGTTTCTAGATAAATTTATAGTAAATTTGATATCTTGTAGTTACTCATCCTTGCAAAAGGAAAAGGCAGTGAATTATTAGAGAAGTCATGCATAATTACTCATCCCTTGTTAGTAGAGTGTTATAAAAAATCCAAAAAACATTCTCTACTAACTATGTCAAGTATTTCAAGCCTTAAAGTATGCTTTTGAAATCTCAATTAAAAGAGTCATCTTAATCATGAAATTTCTTCATTGATCAATTGTTATTTAATTTAGTAATCACAGTGTTTTTAGTAAGGAAGGATTTGTATGGTCAATTTTTGATATTGAATAATTTAAAGATGTTTAAAGTCTTCTAAACTTGCTTTTAAAACATTAATTATTTGAAAAGTATTTTTTCATTATCAAACATGTTGATAGAATTGGGTAATGTATATACATACACATGTTTATACTGTCTATATCAAACATCATTTACATTAACTAAAGATAAAACATGTGGATATTTTTTATGATATTTTTTCATTGCAAAGTTATTCATACAATATATATATATATAATTTTTTTTGTGGTTCTTAAAAAAATGCCACATAATTTTTATATTGAGTAATAAATACTAAACAAAGATTGAAACTGTCATCAATCTTATCAATGTATTATTCATGTTTTAGTTTCAATTGAAATCATTTTAAATTTTTGTATTAATAATATAATTAATAATTCTAGTTAAACTGAATAAAAGACATCATACAGATGTATGTGTGTATATACATACATGGAGTTGTTAAAGCCACACTCTCCTTTACCATATCATGATTGATTTTGTCCATCAGTCCTTATTTCCTGGTGTTTTTTGTAGGTAATTAACATAAACTAGCACATT